GTTCCCAAGATGTGGGTTCTCGGAACCCACTTGTGTTAGTTCTTTTTCTCTTTTAGCTATTTGCCTGATTCTCTTTTTAAAAGAAACATGAACCCGCATCAGTTTTTTTCCTTTTTGCTATATGCAAATTTCTTTTTAAAAATTTTTTAAAAACAAAACATAAGATTAACAAATGAAAAAAGCAAAAAGCACTTCCTCTCTAAAACGAAAGGAGACTATTGGTTCTTCCACTGTTACACAAACGCAAACCCAAAACCAGATTTTCAATGAAAAGTTATGGTTTCTTACTTTTAAAAATATATATTGAATATTGGTACTCGTACCTTAGTTTGGTGGTTATTATATACTAACTTGAGGTCGGTGTCCCAAATTCAGAACCCATAAACCTCAAATCCTGACTCCGTCTCTGCATGCACCCCATCCACAAAAACTATGTACATCCAAAATAGCAGTAACTACCAACAACCTTAATTAGAACTGTACAGGCAGCATAACAAGCAAATCATTGAACTGTTTTCATGTAGGAGGTGAAAATGTTGTATGATAGCAGAAACTGAACTTGTTAGATTGGGAGTCAAAATGAGAATGTTGCTTTTACGATTATTATGCAGTGGTTTTGTGTGATAGCATGAAGAGTGTCCATAATCAAGTTAGAGCACATATTGCTTTTGCATTATATATTTGAATACACAAGAGACTTAGTAGCTTTTTATATGGTGCTAACAATCTTCCATAACTACAGGTGGTTGATGCACTATGCAATGTTGTATCAGCGGCACCTGGAAAAGCTGCAACAGCCATTGTTCTTCAGGTTCAGATTTCGCTTTAACTGTATTTGGTCATTATAGATCATGATCATTTTTTGTTAGGCTGCAGCTAGTATGCACAGTTTATATTTATTCGGATCCAAATGGCTTAACAGATATACCTGATATTTCAAATAATCACATTTTTTTCTAGGAAAAAGAAACAAGTTTGTCCTTGTCCTATCCGAAATTGAGAAACTTTGCCCTCCATTGAACTTTTGGTCTAATATTATCCCTGCATTAGGAAAAAAGTCTTTTTTTCCTTGACTCCTAACAAAACTCCGAGGGTAATTTTGAACTAGAGTCGAAAAACAAGGGGTAAGTTTGGACCTTTTTTCACAAATAATTTGGACACATGGAGTCCACCTATTTCATGTTGGAGCTCCGTTAATTAAAAGAGAAATAAGAGAAAATATAAGATGATCTGCTTATGGCAAGGGTATTAATAATGGACCCAAAGTGTAATGGAGGAAAAATTGAGCAATTCCGAATAGTTTAGGGGCAATTTCTGGAAGTTTTCCCTTTTCTGTCATATTTTTGGCCTCATCACATGACAAATACATCTTTTTTATGTTTATGGGTACAGTACCTGTCTGGGTCCAGAGTTTCTTAGACTTGCATGCATTAATAGTTATCATCACTTTGCTTCTAGGTGTAAGTAGTCTTCATCACCATATTTGTTTGGTCACTTTCTTGCCAAACTTTACTTGTCAGGCTGAGAGGGAATTGCAACCATGGATTGCTAAAGACGATGACCTTGGTCAGCAAATGTGGAGAATTAACCAACGTATAGTAAAATTGATCGCAGAACTGATAAGGAATCATGATATAGCAGAATCTTTGGTAATTCTGGCTAGTAACCCAGACCTCCTTTTACGGGCCACAGATGGGATGCTTGTCGATGGAGAAACATGCACCTTACCACAGCTGGAGGTAATGACATATTTAGATTTCTGGTTTAGTGGTAACATCTTTTATAGTTCTTATTTCTCACCTGATGAATTATGATTCAGAAAGCTACGACTTCCTTTATGTTCGTGAGTGCTTGAATATGTCCAAGGATGATTGATTCATCATATTCAATATCTTCTGCATTTTCTGATATATTTACATCCTTGCTCTTTAAAAAATATTGAGCAGCTTTTGGAAGTGACAGCTAGAGCAATTCAACCAGTGCTTGACTGGGGAGAATCTGGACAGTCAGTTGCTGATGGCCTCACAAACCTATTGAAGGTGATACTCTTTGCTACACTTAGTTCAAATTGGGGATCAATAAGGGTGTGCTTGGTATGAAGGGAACTGTTTTCTTGGAGAGCTAGTGGGTATCTTACTTATTTTCTAGTGTTTAGTAAATAAGCAACAAAAAAATAGTCCGAAAAGTATTTATATGTAATCTAGCAAAACACTATGGGGAGTGGAATGGTCAAGCGTTGGGGGTTGTGGGTAGGGAGGGGGAGACAATGAACTTGGAATGTCACTTATGAAACTTGTTTATCCTACTTTCATTAGGGAAGTTATTATTTTTCTCATTTTTTTGGGTAATAAACTGCGAATATCACCATAACACCCAAAAATATTTACAAACTAAAGAGCATCTAGCGTCTCAGCCATCTTCTACGAAGAGTGCAGAGAGAATCTAGACATCAGGAACCAGCAAAACAAAAAAAAAAACAGCATCTCAAAACTAATTGCAGAGTCCATGAATCAACATGTGACGGTTCCTAGCCTTCCTAGAGCTTGAAACTGACTCTAGTCTCTCTTTCAATTCCTTTTGTATGCGTAACAGCAAACTCAGTATTTACAGTTAATTGCCTAAACAATTTCCAATTCCTAGCTTGCTAAGTATAGTATATCAAAGCACCATACATTAGCTGTTACAACTTCCTGCTTAAACTGTCTCCGGTGTCTTCTTTTCATCCAGCTCAGGCTTTGTTTAGCAGTTTTCTGTGGTAAAGATTCACCAATTCAAGTAGCCAAAGCAGTATTCACAGTAGTTATCCATTGACAGTCTGCAAATAGGTGCTGATGAGTCTCAGTTATCCCCTCATCACATAAACAACATACATCATCATCAACTGGATGTGTTGTCTATGCAGCCTTTCTTTGGTTAAAAGTTTGTCATGGTACGCCAACCAAACCATTAGTCTCTGCCTAGGCTCATGATTGAACTCCAGACCAATTGAGCTTCAGACAAGCTATATAGATCACCAAGCATGGCTTGTAACTACTTGACATTGAGTATGAGCCATTAGGAGTTAGTTGGTAAATCCCCCCTTAATATCAGTGCACTATCAACCCTTTAAGAGAATTCAACTTCTTCCTTCTTCCCGTACAAAGTACCAACTGCAGCCTGAGGTGGAGTATGATCCCAAATATCATCATTTTTAAGGAACTTGCTTTCCTAGAGAATGTTTCCTAAAACATTTTGACCAACCAAACATGAGAAAATTGGAGAACATCTCCATACCAAACACCCCCTTAAGAGTGAAAAAAGTTATATTCTTTAATTATACTTAGCACTTGATGATAAGATAAACTTAGGTACAATACTAACTAGGTTCCTTTGGGTACATTGCAGTGTCGCTTACCTGCCACAGTTCGCTGTGTTTCTCATCCAAGTGCACATGTCCGTGCTCTCAGTACATCTGTTCTTCGTGACATTATGTATGCTGGTTCAGTAAAACCAGGTGCCAAACAAGCAGCAGATGTAAATGGCATCCACAATCCTGCTTATCAGTACCTTGGCATAAGCATCAGTGACTGGAAAGCGGATATTGAGAAGTGTTTGATGTGGGAAGCTAATAGCCGGCTTGAAAATGGAATGTCTGCTCAATTTCTTGATACTGCTGCTAGGGAATTAGGCTGTACTATATCAGTCTGAAAACTCACTTTTCTGGGGCATATATTAGGTCTCTCTGTACCATACCTATCTTGTAAAAGTCACTTTTAGTTAGAAAATATATTTTAGAGTCCTTACAATGGCATGTAGATAGTCCCACTTGTTTTGTTTTTCATTCGGCACAGATTATGTTTGTTGTACTTCCAAATACAAACATGATTGTGGAAATAAGTAGATGTAGTTGTTTAATATTTGAGTGACCTACAAATGGCTGGCTCAGCTTTAGAATTGAATTTTTCCTATCATGTAATAACCGTCTTACTTTGTATTGTACATTCAGCAGATAAAAATCATCTATGCAGTTTTGTTTTCATTTCATTTCCTTGTTGATCTGCTTACTGACTTAAGATAACTAATGGTTATTTGAATAGTCTTGAGATCTGGTAATGTGATTAACTTTTGTGCCAACTAGTCTCACATTCTTCCATTTATAGATGGCTTAGGAGGAGTCTTGTCTATGATTTCATATGATAATAATAAAAGTTGCATGGGCTAATGCCAAGCAATCATCTTTTTTTTTTTAATCTCGACTCCTTTCTTATTTTTGTTTGCTATGATGATAACATGAGCCGAGCTTAAATGGAGTAGTGAGGCCTTTAATGTATTTGGGGCACAAATTTTACTGAGTTGTCAGTCAGGTCACCAAATAGACTTGCATCAAATGGTGCATAGCTGAGACTTACGCTATGCGGACTCTTCAAAAACTTGCATGTCAGATACTTCAAAAATATAGTCCTCAAGGATCGAATACACACTTGGCGATATTTTCGGAGAATCTGAGTAACATAAGTTGAGACTAAAGTTGGAATCTCCATGTATACTTTATGTTGTTTCAGCCACTACTTTGGGGACTTGGATGTGTTTGGTAAATATATTACAAATTTCTCATATGGGTGGTTGGTAAATATAAATAAATATATATTTTCTATGAAAATACAGACGGAAAACCAAGTTTCACAAATGATCTTACTCGAACACATCGCTCTCAACCTCCACCCGTCCACGCCTTTACCCTCCACCCTATTCACATAGTGTTTGTTTGAATTATTTATAAATATTTTTTAGGACAATTTGATCTTCTGCTTACCTAACAAAGATCAGAAAATAAGTAAGAAACTACATATTTTTCACGAAAAACATTTTTCTTCCAACTAAACACACCTTTAATGTCAACCAATCATACCTTGGTTGATCTACGCATGCTAGGGTGTTGGTAGAGGTTATGAAAAAATAAAAATAATGGACTTTCGAAGAGACTGAACTAAATGCAGATATTAACTTCAGAGAAAAAAATGCACGCAAAAAAATTCATCACTCTCTATAAATTATTGATCAAATAAAAAATGAGAATGAGAGAAACCAAGCTCTATACCCAAGTCACAATCTCTTCTTACTAATGTTATATTACCAAAAAGATGAATTATAGGATTAAGAAAAATCTAATTCGATTGAAGGAGGTGTGTATGTAGAGTCAGCTGACTATAAAAGGTTCAGTTTTTTGCTATCTTTTCTGTTTCAGCTTCAATGCTAGAAAATCTTACACCTTATCATCGGCTTGTGACGAATCCGATCCATGCTTGATTGAATGGCTACGACGCTCTTTCCCACCTGGTTTAGATGAGGCATTCCCATACCAGATCATTCCGCAAACTGCTATGAGCATGCCAACTACCACTTGCATGTTGAGACCTTCTTTCCCGAAAAACAAGAATCCCAGTATCAAAACGAGGATTGTTTTCATATGACCGATAACTTGGAATGAAACAGCAGTGAATCTTCCAATGCATATGAACTGGCTGAGATTGGTGCCTATAGCTATAGTGCATGAAAGAATGATGAATACCTGCAGAGAAAGAGAGTTAATAGTGTAAGGGACCATGTATAGAACAAAAGGTGCACGGATCAAGAGTCAAAACTCATACAGAATATTGTTCATATCAGAGAGTATTTCCTCTGGTGGTCTAATCTTCCACTAAAACTTTCTTTGCACCGTCCCCCAAACCCCCCGCACGCAAGTTTTCAATTCAAATGAGGTCCATCATCCACTTTCATAAAAGCAGAGATGCAAAATAGGCTGGGGAAATAAGATATTTTTTTCAATTGATGGAATGCGCTGTGATCACATGAAACAGGTTTCAAAAATACATTGGTGAGCACTAAATCCTACTCTCTTGAAAATAACAGTCAACACAGTAAAGCAAGTTAAGCATGAGATGAACATTGGTCTGAATGTTCTATATCAGCTTTATTCAGCAGTAGCAAAATCTGGAACCTATTCGTACAACTTTTTGGGGGGGTCAAAATAAGCCAAGCCCATATAACAATTAACATCGGATAGGTGCATCTTAAAGTCGTAATTCATCAATATTGCAGATTCATAACTTTTTGACAGTGAAATAATAAAAGCATACATCAAAGTATCAGACAAAAGATATACCTAAGACCGTTCAAGCTTGAAACTTGCAAACATAAGAATGACCTTTCACTACCATTTTTCTTGAAGAGTTAACAAGTCAAACAGCAATTTAAGAGTGAGGTACTAACCAAAGATGGAAAAGTGAAGTCAAAGTGATCAATCCTCTTGTTGGTCAACCAATAATCCACAAGCGGGCCTAATAGCAGCAGACTTCCAGCTTGAACTGGTGCAGTATGTCCCAGCAAATTGAAAGAACTAAGGGAGTATTTCCTTTGAAGGTAATGAACATACTGCATATACAAAACCAAGTGCAAATATCAGTTTTTGACCAAGTGCAATTACATTCAAAGAGAAGAGCTTCAGAAAATTAGAAGACTAAAAGTAGGAGCAAAATATTATTTTTTCAAATCCAAGTCAAGCACAGAAGTGACAAGTTGTATAGAATTTCCCAGGAAACAAGTTTTCCATTTCTAGATGAGGCTTAGGTCTTGTTGATTTCCCAACAAACTTTGCATTATCAATAAAACGTCTCATTTTACTTATCCAAAAAAGTTGACTAATAGAGTGTGATTTCCCATATAAAACTCTATATACTACTACAACTCTGCATTGCTAATACAACCTTTGGCTTCCTATATAAAACTCATCAGAAGCAATACCTGCATATCTTGCAGGACAGCAAGAGCCCACTTATGTTCTATAGGGGGTATAATGTAGAATAAAATGTGCACAGAAGCAATACCTCGATAGGAGCACCTAAGCACAAAAATGCCTTTTAATGTAGGGGGATTTATGTTTAAACAGAAAAAAAAAATTCAAAAATTGAATAAAAACAAAGTTAGGAATTCTTACAAAACCTTTAGGTTTTCTAAAACTATAAAGCTTTACAAGTATACTATTTAATATAACTAATCTTGAATATTAGAATCCTTGCATAACTACTTTTTTGCGATGGTTGTCTCCAACTTAAGTGGCATGCAACTCAACTAATCCACTAACCCGCCTGCTACAACCACAAATACAGTTTCCGAGTTAACCTGTGCTCGCACTAAGACAAGAATATATGGGCTCACACCTAGTACAATAACTGGATTTGAATCCTAGGATCTCCAAACTGTTACTCTAATAGAGTACCTCAAACACTCAACTGGACCCTTGTGCTATAATACCTGGATTACTAGTCCGGTAATAGAGTACCTCAAATATTCCCTCGGTGTAATGGTGTGTTATTCAACTGATCAAATTAAGCTTTTCAAGCTGGTATAAGATATTAAATTGCCGAGACAACTTACATACTGTTGTAGAGCAGTGCTCCATACAGCTACAAAGGCAGCAATGAAGCCTTTGGTATTAACACTCACATCCGTAACTGTGCAAACAGCAACACCTAGGAGTACCACAACAATGCTCAGCTTTGTGTCCCTTGAATAGCGGATCTTGTCAAAGGAAACTTCTAGTAAGCAGGAGACAGGGATCATACTCAACTTTGCAATCTGAGAGTGATAATGGAGATTAGTATTTGAAGTCCTCAATAGAATCAGAAGAGCAGGGTGAATGTGATGCGCATAGAATTACCTGGTAGAATCCCACCGAGTTCCACATCAAACTGATGTTCATCCCAACAATAGAGAAGTTTGCACACAGTACAAATTTTAGAAGATCTAGAAGGGGTAAATGAGAAGCTTGGATGTACCCGAGCCACCTAAGAACAATCGTCATCAAAGTTGTTGTAACAAAATGCATCCCCGTTAATGTTGTTGCTGCAAAGATTGTTGTAATCAAAAGCTAGAACAACCATATAACGAAAAGACTGAAAAAGTGTATAGTAATGTCAAATCTTCATTGTCCAACAAGCAAAAAAAAAAACATTAATCGGTTTTAACATGAAAATGCCCGTGCTGCAAACCTGCTTAGGTTCAAGTTTGTCTTAAGTCTCTTTTCAATGTTACAAGTATTAAATTCATATCCGCTAAGCAATTTTTGTATTTCCTGTAAATTGTGCGATTCAGTTCAAAGAAGCATGTGTTTCTCTTCGTGCTAAATGTCCCACCAGACTGTCATTTTCTTTTCTTTTTTTCCTTTTTAAAAAAGCAATGCATATAGCTATAACATTGTAGATTATAGAGTTCAGAATATTATATTTCGGGATATTATATCCAGATTCCTTTTAATTAGAATTAATAGATATAACCAATGTAGCTGGAATCTTAATATAAGGGAATGCTGTTCTGAGAAAGTGATGGAATATCGCGGAGAAATTTACCAAAGAAAAACCCGTAGTTAGCCATTAAGGCTTTGTTAACAATAATGATTCCAACTGAAGTGACCACATTGAACATCCATGCAGCCACATCACCTGCAGCCTTTTTATCAGCCTTGCTTGAAGGAGCCATTTGCCTTTATTTTTTGCTGCCAGAAACAAGTTTTACCCTCCAAGCAGCAAATAGAAGCATTCACACTTCTACATCAAATTTCCAAATCTTTTATTTGCTCTTCCCACCTACGATACGTAGAAGAAAACATTATGATCCACAACAGACAGATCAAGCAAACAAACAATTCCCTTCTATAACCCGATCGCATAAGTAAGAAAATGAAGTTAATAATACCATTTCCATAATTGCAATGGTCTAATAAGATCTAAAAACAAAGTAAGGGTAAAAGCAATACAACAAGCAAAGAAAGAAACAATTCACCATATGATCAAGTACAAAATAAACTTTTAGTGAAACTCCACCACAACTTACCAAAATCAAAACTCCTTTTTCCCCTTCTTTTCTTCTACAAATTTTTATTTTTCTAGTCAAAAATCAGTACCAGCTAGTAAAAATCACAAATTGCATAAAAGATCAAAGAATTCTCAAGGATGCAAGCCAAATGAGCTAAATCAACTCTATCTCTTATGAATACAACAACAACACCTCAAAGCACCTACGAGTGTGGCCTAATGGTCAATGAAGTGAGTCCAGCAAAGACCAAAACGCTAGGTGATCTCTTCCCATTTGCTAGACAAAGTTACCTGCCGGACACCACGGTTATCAAGAAAAATAAAACTCAATCCCAAACTAGTTAGATTTAACTATATGAATCCTCATTATCCATTTCGACCCGTATAATTCCAATAACACAGTGAAAAATAGATTAAAAATCACATAATCACTAGAATCGCAGCATTTGCATCAATCACAGATGCAGATCCACACTTTGCTTCAAAATTTAACAAGACTTGCGCTACCCTATTCTCAGATCTAAATTCCAAAAAAACTAAATTGCAATCAGTGAATCAAAATTCTCATAAATCATTCAACAGATCTACATTTGCAATAACAACACACCCAATTGTCAAAGAAAAAAGTGAAAAAATTGACTCACCAGTTGAGAAGTAAGGAGAAATAAAAGTGACCCGTTTTAGATGCAGATCTTAACGTGCGAACTGGGTCTTTACTATACGTATATATGTTTATGTATAAACGAATTGAACAAATTTTGGACTGTATCTGTGTGAATGTAAGAAGAACAAAAATGGAGGAATTGGGGAAGAAGGAAGTTTTTATTGATTTGTGAGGTAGAATTGATTTTTTTTGACAAATAAGAAGTGAAAGAAATTGAAGAAAACACACACAACTGTACCAAGTGTATGATATGTTGTGTTTACATGTACAAAGATGATGGAGAGGGTGGTGGGTGGTAAGGGGTATAGTGGGGGAGCTGAGGAATGTACTATTTTCCAACTTGGTCCATGTGCTTCATTGTGTTTGTTTTTTCCTCATTAGATTGGGATGAATCCGACGAGAAGGAGTTGCTCGAATGGTAAGCATTCATCACGTTTAATTTGATGATTGTTTGAGTTACTAAGGAAGCAGAAAGAGTGAAAACAGATTGTGACTTCGAGTCATTGAATCAAGAAGGGTGGAAGCTCCGGGGGGAGAGGTTAAGAAAAAGGTAAATTAACTGAGTCAAACGAGTTGGGCCGACTCAGAATCAGATCAGATTGAATCGATTTTCGATCGACTCGGTTAGGTCTGAGTAAAGGTTGTTGGGAGTTGTGTTGGATTGAATTCGTACGGTTCAAGTTTTCAAATTAGTGGTTTGAGATTGATTGTTATCGATAAGGTCGGGTGAACTATTAATCGGGTATCTGATTGGATATGATATAGCTCAACCTTGCCTGCACGAGTTAGTTTAAAACCTTCTAAAGCCAGATCGACTGGAATTGCCCTCCCCCTGCACGAGTCAGTTTAAAACTTTCTAAATCCAGATCGACTGGAATTGCCCTCCCCCTGCACGAGTCAGTTTAAAACCTTCTAAATCCAGATCGAATGGAATTGCCCCCAATCCCCACCCAAGAATCAATTCAAATTTGAAGTAGTTTTATTGATTTTATCTTTTTCTAATCGACCCGTGTCTCAACGAGTATAGGGTAAATACTAATATATATTTGTATTATTCATATCTAAAATAAACATATTACTTAATTATGATTAATAGCACATTTGGTCAAACTTTCAAACTCTGCTTATTTTGAAAAGTGTTTTTTTGAAAATTAATTTTGTAGTACGTATTTAAAAGAACAATTTACTAAGTATTTTTGTCAGTATTATGTAACAATGCGTGTTCAGTCAAGGTTCTAAAAAAATTTAGGGGAACAGTTTTTTTTTTCAATTTCTTAAAAACAAGCTTTGCTATTATTCAAAATATATCTTTTTTCAACGTTGATTTGAATAATATTTTGAAAAATTATCTTCAAATATCTATTTGACCATAAATTTTATATCCGATTTTATAGATAAATCTCAATTTTGAGAGAAATTTCACTTTCACTCACAAAATTTCAATTTTTACCGTATTTATTGATTTGATATAATATTTGATACAAGTAAATTTTTACCAAAAACAAGAAAGGAAAGGAATTGAAATTAGTTGGATCAAACTCACACGTATTGTATGAGAAACTCCACCAATATCATTAGGTTCATTTTCCCTTCTTATTATTGTTTGAGATATGTGTCGATTTCAATAACTTTGTTTAATACCTTATTTTTAATGTTTCTTGAATTATAAGATTGAATAAGTAAAATATCTCATTTAAAATATTTTACTTTTTTCGTATGATTTTAAATATTGGGTTCCAGGTTTCTTCTTTTTTTTGTTAACTGTCGATTTTTCATTTATAACAGAATTGTACAATTACAACTAGAGCAGTATTGGACTACCTACTCACTCATCAAAACTAATAATCTACTAATCTATAGTCAAACAATACAAGCAATTAGTATAGATCAGTGATACATTCCAACTAAGTCTAGGCAGAAACTAAGGATAGGTGTTAAGTTGTTGTAGTGTAATATGCCACTTTGCTCTGGTTTGGCTCTTGATATATGGTTCCAAGCTTTGAATTGGGTCAAAGTTTTTTAATTAAAATTTTATATATTAGATTACGATGGATGATGAATGAATCAAATAAATTTATTTGAAGATCAATTGTAAATGCCTAATTAGTTTATTTATAATTAATTAGGTTTGTCATCGGTAAAAAGGACAAATGATGAATGAATCAAATAAGTCTAATTTAGTTTCTATCTTTTAGAATATAATTGGAAAAAAAAAACATTAAGGAAATATTATTAAATTAAAGAACAAAATTTCAATCAAATAGATATTATTAAAAGGATACACAACTTTTAAATTTATTCATTAGATTAAATTTAATTTACTTATTTATATAAATATTTTGTCTAACTCAATTTCAAGTTTAATAATACTTCATTTGTTGAAAAAAAATCTTAGAGTAAATATATGAAAAGAAAGTTATATAGAAACAAAATAAACAATAGAGATAAGAAGAATAGAAGACAAAAATATAGAAAAGGCCCAAAATAGTCCCTCATCTTTGGATTAAGACTCGAAGTCATTCTTGAGTTTTCAAACGGAGCATTAATAGTCCCTCATGTTTGAAATATTGATGCACTTTTGGTCCTCCTTCAAAATTTTGCCTATTTTTTAACATTGATTTTATTCATAATTTATGTATGAAATGTTTATTCGTCATTTTATATATTTAGTAGAAATAATAACTTCATGTGAGAGATTGTGAAAAGAAAAACACATTGTTTTGTTTAGTAGAAATCGTATTGCAGGTAAAGTCGAGAGGTTTATCACGACGATTTCACATGCAATAGTATAATTTTTTCTTTTCTTGCAATGTTATATGTTAAAATGTTCTTAGTTTAACTGCAGTAATATTTATATTGAACAGAACAAAGTGTTCTTCTTATCACCTTCTCTCACATAGAGTTATTATTTTTACTAAATATATAAAAAGACAATGAGATATTCCTTACATAAAATTATGAACAAAATTAATGTTAAAAAATAGGCAAAAGTTTAGGGTAGGACCAAAAGTGCACCAATATTGCAAACATGAGGAACTATTAGTGCTTCATGTGAAAACTTAAGGATGACTTTGAATCTTAACCCAAAGATGAAGAACTATTTTGGACCTTCTCTCGACAAAAATACAAAAAATATGCCTAATAAGCTTAAATAAAGGCAAATTGAGAAGAAAAAACAACAAAGAAGAGAAAAATAATGAAAATGGAATTTTGACAACAAAATAGAAAGAAAAGAAAAAGAATAAAGTTTCACATTGAGCCTGAAAACAATGAGTCCTTTTATTGGGTTGGGGATTCTAAGCCCAAAAGTTGAATCCATCTCAATCTTTGCTATTAAACTTTTCAAAGCAAAAAAAAAAAAAAAATAAGAAAAAAAAGGGAAAATGGTTTGAAATATATCTAAATTTTGACCAAAATTGCAGTAATGATACCAATTTTTGGAAATGACCTTTTACCCCCTACACTATTTAATAGTGTATTTTAAAGGTATATATATATATGTTCACGTGGACATCATAAATATTGTATAATTATAAATAATAACGTGTCCATGTGGATACATATATACCTTTTAAATACATTATTAAATAGTGCAGGGGGTAAAAGGTCTTCCATAAAGTTTGATATCGTAACAATAATTTCGACCAAAGTTGGAGTATTTTTCAGACCATTTTCTCAAAAAAAATAAGGACCAAATAAGGAAAAACCATCTAACTAGACATACATCACTATTATATATACTAACCTTACATTTACTTTCAAACAATTATATATATTACCACTTTTAATATTTTATACCATATATTAATGAAGATAAATAAGATACACATCCCTTAAATTCAAGATTGATTAACTATCTTTACATTTAACGTCCAATAACAATCAAATATCTTTCTCTCATCAACCTCTCCCAATTTCATCCACCATTAGTATCTCTCCCCCTACCCCCACGTCCTCCACCATTTTCTATCTCTTCCATCATTCTCTCAACACACAATTTCGTTCGAATAATTATAAAAAACAATTCCAATTTAAGAAAGAGATGTACGACTGAGATGCTTCTACAATATCCGTTTGGGGCTAATCATGATACTATTACATTCAATGAAGAAATCAAGAATGGAGTTCCATCAATATATTCTAAATGCTCATTTGATTTCCCAACTTGGTATTTGATGTCTGTGCTCAATCATTTGTAGAATTATTTATTTTGAGCACAACAAAGTGAACAATTTTTCTTTTTAAGAATTCAAATTTGTTTTTTTGAAATTTGAGATTCATTTTCTCAAATTTTCATGTTTAGAGAATCAAGTGTATCTCCCACTACGTATCTGATTCATGCATCTAATTTCATGTTTAGATATATTGTATTAGATGTATCTGCTATATACATGTACTGGTACATACTCTGTGACTTAGATAGATTAATAATGTACTAGCTACATGTAGCATATAGCATATACATATGTGTATGGACATATTTCAACAAAATCGTCGTAGATCACACTTTTATGGAGTGACGGTAATCACAAATTCATTGTTCGCGCAGTTAGCGTTAATGAAGATCCACCAAATCCAAAACGCACATTTATCAATTCAAATCTACTTAAAAGATTAATATCGAATAATTTGATACATACTTCAAATACATGTATCTGCTATATGCTACATGTAGCTGGTACATAACTAAGTCACAAAGTATGTATTAGATATATGTATATAGGAGATACACCTAATAAAGTATATCTTATGAAATTTGGTGCATGAATCAGATACATAGAAATAAGGGAAAAGACTCAAATATGCCATCGAACTTTCAGAAAAGGCTCAAATGCATTCGTTAAAAGTTTGGCTCATCTATGTCATTGTTGTTAAAGAAATGACTTATCCATACCTTTTTTTTAACTCCAATTTTACAAAACCGTTTTTTACACCAAACAACTTTTAACACTTTTTAATTGGGATTTTGGATAAATGTACTCTTTTTGCTTCTTCTTCTTTTTCTTCAAGAACACATGAATAACATAAACAATTCTCGAATTTTCAACATCTTCAATTCTTCACGAAATCATTTCAAATTTCGGTCACATCATTAATTTATTCTTTTAAAAAAACAAAATTCTAAAGTCATTTGTAGAGTTTAAAAAAATCAGCCGTATTAAAAAAAGTATTCCAAAAAAATGAAAATCAGTTCCAAAATTTCAAAAAATTGCTTTGATTCGTGATTTTGTAGTTGTTTTGGACATTAGATCTTTGTTCTATAGTGTTTTTGAGTCTATGTTCAAAAT